GGAGGCCATCGCTGGTAGGTTGGAGGTCATCGCTAGTAGGTTGGAGGCCATCGCTAGTAGGTCGGAGGCCATTGCTAGTAGGCTGGAGGCCATCGCTAGTAGGTTGGAGGCCATCGCTAGGAGGGTGGAGGTCTTAGCTCTTAGGTTGGAGGCCATTGCTATTAGGGTTCTTTTCTTTTCTTTCTTTCTCTCTCTCTCTCTCTTTCAACCCCAAACGATTGTCACGACGGTGTCGCCCGCGTCCTGACCGCCAGCAGCTATGATACCCAGTGCCTGGTCCGGGAAGACGGCCCCAACGTACACACCGTCAGAGGCCACGACCACACCGGCCACGAAGTCGTCCGTGTTGCTACCAAACTGAAAGGCCTTGATGTATTCGCCATACCTCAAAAAGTTGGACTTTCAGTTTTGGGAGTGGATTGTTGGAGCCATGGACTATCATGAACTGCTGGATTACCTGAACTCCATCGTATACGTGACGAGAAACCTTTCCCTCCACTTGCAACCCATGGTATTCTCGGTATGTGAAGTCGCTGGTCGACGCATTTATCACGGATGTGCTTGGGGGTAGTGGTCCTGCCAACCCCATGACTGTAAATGTATTAATATGTCACGCCGCTCCTTATATCCCATATGTTTTTTGGTTCCTCTGTGGAATTACCGGTGTACCTTGAGACTTGATTTTTTTGGAATGTTCTAGAACGAAACAATGAATGGCGGTCGCTGGTGTAGTCACATTGCAACCAAAGTTTTTTGATGCTTCAGTCAGGCCAACACCCATGGCTCACCCGACCTCATCCTTGAGGTAAGGTAGTCAGAGCAAGACGAGATGCTGACTGATCCTCAAGATCCAACAATCTGTCCCTCCACTATCTGCTGTTTCAAGTCCAGGATCCTGCGTAATTCAGCGGCCAAAGGATGCCAAAGGCACAACTCTTTGCAACACTCACGTTCTAAGTGGATACTGTAACTCTTACGATCTTGCTAGCAAGGCCAAAGTCAGCTCTGCAAAGTCCGTCGGATGGCGAGTTTTGCGCGACGCCTACTATCTTCAAAGCCTGCAACAAATCTTTCTTGACGAGGTTGCTTCGTACCATGACGTTCACCTGTGGGGTTGCTTCTTTGGATGCAAGCCCCAGTACCTTTGCTCAATGTTTGGGCTGGAGGCCTGGGAGATCTGGAAATTGTCACCCTGTGATCTTAAATCGCCATAAACCTCATTTCCTACTTCTCCTTCCAATGCCAACCGCGTGCTGGCAAGTCCCGCGACAAAAGCACAGACAAAAACACAAGGAAGCAACCATGCCCATCTGCCTCTCTCTCTCTCTATCTCTTAGGTTGGAGGCCGTTGCTATTAGGCTCCTTCTCTCTCTCTCTCTTTTTCAAACTTCTCGCCCCCTTCCCGCTCTTTATCTCCTGGATGGCATGGCTGGTCCGGAGCATGTTACCCGAAGTGCTTCCCGCCACATAGATAGAGTGGTCAGTGCGGTTTATAGCGAAGCCGCCCAGCACCTCATCGCCTGCAGAGCCCAGCTGCCGTGCCCACAGCAAGCTCCCGTTGTAGCCCACCTCTGGGGTGGGTGCCGTTCGTAGCGCCCGATCGCTCCGTTCGTAGCGATGCCAGCCCCGTTCGTAGCGTCCTTGTTCCTAGTAAGTAAGGCCAGGAGCCCCTAGTGTAGTAGGATGTAGTAGGGTGTTGTGTGAATTCGAGTTTTGACAGATGGAGATGGGCCAGTTTTGGATCGCCGAGTTGTTGACCAAGATGGGCCGGCAAGCCAGCACTTATACATTTGCACTTTATAATTCATTGTCTATTATTGCATAGGCGGGTTGAGTGAAAGTGGTGAGGGCTTGGGCTGGTTGAGATACGGTATCAGGTTTCTCAGGTTGAGAAGCGTGCACAGACCACAGAAACTCGGGGATCACTTCGCAAAGAGACACCCCACCTTGGTGACCCAAACATCACGAGAGCCGAAGTTGCTGAAGTTCAACGGCTGCAATGACAAACGCAAGTAGCGGCAGGTTGCCCTGTATTGTTCTGCCCCTTGGTCATGCCGCATCCATCCACCTGGGCTCAAGTCCAACATGTCACCGTTACAGTGGTCCCACTGTTCAATTTGCCAAATCGATATGAAGTGAACAGAAAAAACCAACTACCCCATTCGTTGCCAAGCCACAGTCAGTTGCAATGTAATCACTGTCTGAACGCCCTTCAGTCCAAGTCATGGAAGCTTCGGCAATGCCCCGTGTTGTTTTGGGATTGACGATAGTTCCACTGGTGGTGCCTGCCACCAACGCATGCCCTAATCCTTTCTCCGGCT